GGGGATACCATCCAGAGCACTTGCGAGGAGAGATCGCGGTGCCGTAGCGATTTGCTCGTGCTCATGGAGTTTGCGTTAAACAAAGCAGTACATACCACAGATTTACGTCACAAAAATAATCACGTAAGCCCTCGGGCGCCTTTGTCAACGCAACGAAGCGGTGCAGGTGTCGGTAGACAATCGACTTGCTGTATCAGCCCTGCTGCGCTTCGTAGCAAAATTGGTGACGTTATCTTGATGAGTTTGGGCGTCATGCGAAGGGTGCGCGATGCTATGGCAATGAGCGAAGGCAAGAAAAGCAACACGCCAAAGCTAGAAATACGCGAAACACACAAAAAATCGTGGATAAATGGTTGAACCTTCAGCGGTCTATAAGACCAAGTTGTGACCGCACTACATTTGACGTCGCGAAAAAGGGATAAAGTTGTCATCAGAATATCTCGAAGATAGTACACGCATCCAGCGTTCTGCGTGATCATTCTAAATCCATACCACGATTTCGATCTAGATAAGTTGTCGAATGTGAAGAGCTCTTTTGCAAACAAAGCAATGTTTCTACCAGCCCTGTAGCTGAGATAACCTCTCCACCATTGCACCAAGCGATTTTATAAAGATTGAGGTGTTTGAGCCTGGCAGTGCAATAACGAAGGTCGGTGAACAAATTTGAGATCTAGCTAATATAAGCCTCAGCCACACGTTGTGACTTTTGATGAGAATTGGTGTGGCATCGCAACCGAGATGGCTGCCACGGCACCAGGGCGAGTGGAATGGAAAACTCCACCAGTTATCCCGAACTGACCGGCCCCTGCAGACCGGCCGGTCCACCATCTATTACACGTGAAAGTGGTCCATCTGTTGCCTATAGATCTGTGCCGGCAGATGTCTACCCACCTGCGACTCGCTCCTCGCGCTTACAATCCAGCGCAACATCTCCATCATCCCCTAAAGAGAAGCGGCAAGACTGCTGGTCGCAGCGTGCTACTCAGTAGTGGGAGGCAACCAACCCTGTGTTAAAAGAATCTAGATTGTTATCTGTTATAGCTGTCACATGGAGACGAGCAGTTTGTTAACTACAGATTCTCAAGATGATGAATTATCATCCCAAAGTTTGCGTCGTATGGACATGAATAATTCAACAATGCAATGACATTTGGCGAATGTCCTGTTCGCTAAAGCTGTCCAGTGAAGCCTTAAGACCCATCAGACGGCGTGTTTCTTTCACCCAGTGTCCGAAATGAGTCATTTATCCAGTGGCAGTTTTCTCAACTCCCAAGATCCACAAATCATCGCTCATGAAGAATACGGTACTACTCAATCGCTGTGTTCCAGGCGCAGCTAACGTTTTTAGGAAAGAAGGGCACTGTGGGTTGGAAATACTCGCAGCGCGACTTTGCTGTATTTTATCGTCTTAAGTGCAATCAGAAGGCCCAT